AATCTTTGACAGATATAATAAACATTTACTTAATTGATTCAATATTTCATATGTAAAAACATATTTCATGACAGCAAACTGAAACATTTTTTGCGGTCAGTGTACATCCAAACCTCTTTTCCCCATAATTTGAAAGGCTATGAGAACAGAGCTTTAGAGATGCATTTTAAACATCTTCCATCCAAAATGTTATCAGTTTTGTTCCTTCCTCCCCACAGGATATCCAAAAAAGGGGAAAATGATCCAAAGGACATTAGTGTACTACTGCATTTCTGAAGTGAAAAAAATGCAGAAAATGGAAATTGATAACATTTCAAGTAGCTTGAATATATATTGTAGAAATCATCCTATTAGAAATTTTACCCCATCCCTAAAATGGCTTATTAATTTATGATCCCATAATAACAATTCCTAGAATCCTCCCACAAATCCAGGAAATTCTCTTTCCCCTCCCCCCAAGAAGAGGTAAGAGGAAAAAGGACAGAAAGAGGGGACGTGGCAGGTGTTCATTTATTTAACTGATGGCATGATTTTAAAAGGTAATATTTGACAAGACCTCAATACCGCAATTTCCTTATAGGTACTATATATTGACTTTCACAAGACTACTTTTTGTTTTTAAAGGCCATTTTGAGAAAGACAAAATACTGAGACAAGAAGGAGGCTGAACCAACCTTCTCAAACACAAAAGAATGTACAGACAATACAAGGCTTAGGAAAAAGGTGGGGTTTTTTTCCAAAGATATGCTGCACAACCATGTTCTTATCACACAGCTCTGTCTGTAAGTTATACATTAGGGCATATCTCCACAGAAATTTATAATTAGGATACTAGGAACTCGTTTTTAACATAGATGTAAATTCTGTGATCTAGAATACCACTATGTTTTTTATCCACGATCATTTTTTTTTTCAAACAAGCTATTTTAAAGGAAAAAAAAAAATCCATTCAACAAGTTTCATTTGACTTTTACTTATGGTTGAATACACATGAAATGTGCTTTCAATGCATAAAAATCACAGTGGATAGCAGCAAAGGACTTGGGGGAAATTAAGGAGAATTTGATCATTCACATTGTGATTAATCTGCACATTGATGAAAGATAGCTATTTCACACTTTTAAAAATAAACTTGAGATCATTCTTTCCAAAAAAAAAAAAAAAAAGCCCCCCAAAATACACAAAAACCCCAAAACAAACATAAATCCAAATGCATTAATTTTCTTTTACACACAAAAATGAAATAATTTTTTATGGCAGCAAAAGATTTTGATAATAAAGTCTGTAAACTGTAATTCAATCTCTTTTTGTTGTCATTCCCAAAGTGCAAGATGCAAGATTCCCATAAGCTTTCAGTAGTGCTTTTCCTGTAAATAATCCTTCATTTTGTTTGGCAAAGGCAGTTTCTGAATCAGGTCTATTCTGGTGTACTGACGTATTACAAAACGACACAGGTATTGTAAAGAACGCACCTGCATAAACCGAGATACCGGATTCGTCAGTCTCACTGGGTAAGTTGCAGATCCAGGCAGTCGGGATCTTGAATAGCAGAAAGCTCCATTTTCAGAGTCCCTGATTGAATGTTCAATTAAGTCAACTATAGATGTATGTCCCTCCACATCTGGTTGTTCATAAAAGCTAAACCTACCATTTGAGTGTTCAATTCTAGTGTGAAGAGTTTTTCCATGGGAACGAAAACTTAAACTTAGAAGATAACGATCATCAGAACTATCTCGAACAAGAAACGAGCCATCAGGCACATTAGCTAATTTTCCCTCTGCCTCCCAACGTGTAATGGGACCCCAGTACCATCCTTGTTTTGCAAGTTTTTTCAGTTCTTCTGTAAGACTTGTCACAACCATAGGACCACTGTTCTGTACAGAATCATAAACTCTTCCAACTCCAGGGGCAGTGTTAGGATCAAAATTCAAATGGCAGCGCACACTTTCAGCCACGTGGGCATCTGTGCCATTCAATCCATTGAAGTTCCTTTGGATTTGATTATTCTGCATTGGAGGTAGCAAAGGTGAGAGTGGAGGGACATCGCTGTGACTAACTCTTGGGCTTTGCAACATGACTCCTGTGGTACCAATCAACAAACCATTCACCGTCTGGTCCACAAAGATATCCGGTGCAACGACTACATCCTGATCCACTTGGCTCTCTTCTTCATGGAAAGCATTTCCCCCCACTTGAGAAGAAACAGTTGAAACTTCCATGGGTGAGGAACTATCCAGACAGTAACTACGTGATCCTTCCAAAGGATACATTCCCTCATCTAAAGGCACAGTATACTGAATGTAGTCCTGAGGCATTAATCCAATAACTACAGGCACATGTTCATCAATATGAAGATGCAAGTCCCCGTTCTGAGATTCCGTATTTTTTAACACATTGTTTTGTTCCTGGAACACGTTGTCTGACTGCAAGTCATGGAAGTCCTTTCGAACGCCATTCAGTGCTGGGCTTGGATTAGAGGAATGGACCAAGGCCTTGACTTTCACTTCCATTTTGATGCAAGTGTCTTCAGAATTTGTAGGTCGAAGGGGCCACGGAGTTGGACTGTAATGGTGATTACGGAGGGAAGTGGATCTCAGAGGTCTCTGAGCTCGCACATCTTTGAAGGTTATTGGAGCAGATGAGGAAGAAAAGGTGTCATCATCTGCAGAGCTTACAGATGGTGTGCTGCCTTTGCCTTTCTGTTTTTGTTTTGCTGAAAGCCTCCTTTTTAACGTACCCATTAAGCTTTCACTTTTTGATCTATTTTTGCCTCCTTTTTCATCTTCACTATTGACTTCACAGCTAGCCAAATCTTTACCATAGCAGCTGCCAAACAAGGAGTCATCTTTTCCAAATTCACTTAATGATGGCTACTGAACCACTACAAAGTCACTTTCATCTTTACTTTTATTTAAGTTAAAGGACTTGCGAATTGTTTTGAGACTAATTTTCTTCATTATGACAAGTTACCAAGTCTGGCTGATCAGCAGTGCTTGTGGTGATATAGCCCTAACACACACAGAGCAGCTTCTGCTTCATTTATGTGTTTTCTTCAGCCTCATTTAACTTCAAGAGCCATTTCCTGGAAACAAATAACAAACAATTAAATTCATAAAAGAAATATTTTAAAAATTATCCATAAGGGTTTCCCCCTCTCCAAACAAAATAGAAATTGCAGTACTTAAGTAACAGGCATCAAATAAAAGTAAATATAGAGAGCTCTCCCTGAGGAGAAGGACTTGGGGATGTTGGTTGATGAGAAGCTCAACATGACCCAACAAGGTGCACTTCCAGCCCAGAAGGTCAAACATATTCTGGGCTGCATGAAAAGAAGCATGACCAGTAGGTGAAGGGAAGTGATTCAGCCCCTCTACTCCATTCTGGCAAGAACACACAAGGAGTATGGTATCCAGTTCTGGAGCCCCCAACACAAGAAGGACATGGACCTACTGGAGTGAGTCCAGAGGAAACCACGAGGATGATCAGAGGGCTGGAGCACCTCTCCTATGAGGACAGGCTAAGAGAGTTGGGGCTGTTCAGCCTGGAGAAGAGAAGGCTTCAGGGAGACCTTACAGATGCTTTCCAGTACCTGAAGGGGGCCTACAAGATCCAGTTCTGGAGCCCCCAACACAAGAAGGACATGGACCTACTGGAGTGAGTCCAGAGGAAACCACGAGGATGATCAGAGGGCTGGAGCACCTCTCCTATGAGGACAGGCTAAGAGAGTTGGGGCTGTTCAGCCTGGAGAAGAGAAGGCTTCAGGGAGACCTTACAGATGCTTTCCAGTACCTGAAGGGGGCCTACAAGAAAGCTGGGGAGGGACTTTTTTACAAGGGCAGGTAGTGATAGAACAAGGGGTAATGGCTTTAAGTTGTGTCTAGTGGAGTCCCTCAAGGGTCAGTACGAGGACCAGTATTATTCAATATATTTATAAATGGGCTGGGAAATGATCTACTGAGAGCAGTGTAGGGGAAAGGGATCTGGGA